CCAACTCAAAAAAAAAAAAAAAGTGCTAACTACCCTTTCCCTGTCCCAGGGCTCCCAGTTTGTGGAGTGGGCCTCAGCAGGAAACCTCAAACCAGTGTGGGGGAACAGAGACTGCCAGCGCGCCTGGAATCAGGAGGCCGAGGGGGCAGGCCCAGAGCTGGGGCTGCGAGCGGCACGGACCAAGGCCCTGTGGCTGCCGATGGGGGACTGATGCCTGAGCACCATCCGCTCCACCTTGGACAGAGGGGAGATGGACCCCAACAGACACCAGAAGCCTGGAACATTCCCTTAGGCTTCCCGTGCGTTCCAATAAACTCTCTGACCAACCTTGGCTGTGCTTCTGAGGGGGGAGAGGGAGCAGCTGCTGGGCTCTTGGAAGCTGTGTTAGTTCTGAGAATCAGCAGCCCGGGCCTGGCTCTCGTGTAGCATAGTGTTGGTGAAACAGATAAAGGCAACTCTGAGGATCGCCAGACAAGGCTTCAGGGCTTCTTGTCTCTTCTGGTCTGCTCCCCACAGTCATTCTTGCTCCCTGGTGTTCTCTGCCTGTGTCTCAGAATCCATATGCAAGCAGATCAGCTCTCCAGAATAAAATAAGAGCCCTGGCCTGGCACAATGGCTCACACCTATAATCCCAGCACATTGGGAGGCCGAGGCGGGAGGATTGCTTGAGACTAGGAGTTCAAGACCAGCCTGGGTAAAATAGCATGACCTCGTCTCTACAGCAAAAAATAAACCAGACCTAACCCTTAACTGTACCCCACAAAACTATAATAAAAATACTGATTAATTATTAAAAAAATAAATAAATAAACCAGGTATGGTGGCACACACCTATAGTCCCAGCTACTCTGGATGCCAAGGCAGGAAGATTGCTTGAGCCCAAATGGTGAAGGCTGCAGTGAGCTGCGATCATGCCACTATATTCCTGCCTAGGTGAGAGAGTAAGACCCTATCTCTAAAAAAAAAAACCCTGGTTAATAACTTCTGCCAATTTCCGTGGTATAAATGCTCTTACCTTGCCAGATTTCAAGGTACAGATGATTGAGCAACTGGCTGACAGAATTTTTGAATTGTTAGCCAAGCCAGGGTGAGCCACTTCAGCATGCCAGGTATGGTGGCTCATGCCTGTAATTCCAGCACTTTGGAAGGCCAAGGTGGAAGGATCACTTGAGCCCAGGAGTCGAGACCAGCCTGGGCAACATAGCGAGACCTCGTCTCTACAAAATAATCCAAAAAATTAGCTGAATGTGGTGGCATGCACCTGGAGTCCCAGCTACTTGGGAGGCTGAGGTAGAAGGATCTCCTGAGCACAGGAAGTCCAGGCTGTGTTAGTACCACTGCACTCTACCCTAGGCGACAGAGTAATACCCTGACACACACACAAAATAATGATTTTGGTTTTGGTTTTGAGTTGGAGTCTCACTCCATCGCCCAGGCTAGAGCGCAGTGGCACACTCACTGCCACCCCAGCGTCAACCCGCTGGGCTCCGGCAATCCTTCCGAGTAGCTGGAACTACAGGCGTCCACTACCACACCCAGCTCATTTTTGATTTATTGTAGAGAAGAGTTGCCTGGGCTGGTCTTGAACCCGTGGGCTCAGACAATCCACTCGCCTTGGCCTCCCAAAGTGCTGGGGATTACAGGCTGAACCACCGAGCCTGGCCAGTAATGATGTTTGATACAAGAAAATCACTCAGGCTAGCTTAGGATAAAATGAGTTTTTTATTTTTATTTTTTTGAGTTGGAGTCTCACTCTGTTGCCCTGAGTGGAATGCAGTGGCATGCTCCCAGCCACTGCAGCCTTGACCTGCTGGGCTCTGGCAATCCTTCCACCTCAGCCTTC